ACACTTAATCTAGGCTCCTCATCTGATTTTTTGTTACCTTGGGAAAGCCTGAACATTTCTAATTTTATTAACACCTGTATTTTTACCACTGTGGTTTGTCCTGACACCTTGACTAGACGGTGAGCATCTTCAGGGCACAAGCTGCTCCTGCCTAGCTTGGTACCCTTCCCATTCTCCCTCCTCCTTCCCACAGCATGAACACTATCTTCAGAGTGCCTGAAAATGGGTTTCCTGGATTTATAACCATAGCTACACACCTTGCTCAGATGTATTCATTTATATGTTAAACCACCAAAACAGAAACCAATGATCTCTTTTTAAGTTGCCTTTCTGGATTAATTACACACTAATCTTCAAAAGTGCTGAAATATTTCCATTCCTGTTAAGAACTACTTCATTAGAACACTTGTCACCAAGGCCATTCCTCAGACTTGAGGTCTGAGCTATACATACAACAATGTGTGTAGATTTATCGTCATAGAGGAGTTTGTCCTCTTAAGTAAGGCCATAAGTTAGGTAAAGTTTTTCTTTCCTCTCTGTTCCTTCAAATAGAAAAAATTTAAAAATACTACATTCTCTGCTAATAATGCTAAAACTTAAATAGGAAGTGCTAAGTTTAGCAGTCAGGGCCTAAGAGAAGTCTGTACCACTTCAAGATTCAAAAGACTGCTCCTGAGGCAATAGGATAATTATTGTGGGGAATTTTAGCAGTGGAATTGAGTATTTTAAAACTAATAATACACTTTAAATAAAATGCTTTAACTCGTCTTGGTTAAAAGCTGGCATGAATGAATATTATTCCCTAAATCATATGTGCTGAAATTACACTGCAATCAGATCTCCTAGGTAAAGATATGGTGATCCTTAAATGATTAAGTTTCTATTATTAGTAGGCATCTGGCGTCATGCTACAAATCGCTTTTATGCTTGGCAAATGTGGCACATTTTGAAGTCCAAGATACTAGAACTACTTTGGTCTCACTAGTCACTTTGAAATGTTGAAACTACTATCCATTGTTTTACAGAAATTCATTGAGTGTTCATGAAGTGTTCATTTTACAATGAAAATGGAATATTTTTTAGTAAAATGAAGAAATTACAGACCAAAGATCACCTTTTACAATTTCCCCTCTTAGATGATTTCCATGGCATTTTTTCAAAGGTTTTGTTTCTTAGGGGTGAGGGGTACATCCAGTAGCTATAAGTATTCAACTGACAAAGTGCCATTTCTGGTTGCTTTAACTGCTTGGGAGAGGTTAGAAGGGCTGCTGCCTACCTGAAGATCTAGAGGATCTATATATTAAAAAACAAAAAACCAAAAAAACAACAACAACTAGAAGCTTCATAAGGGAAATATATTTAGCAACCAGGTGGGACTGAGCATTAGGGTTTAAGAGCTCGACACTACTGGTCTCATCAAAGGCTGGCAATAAGGTATACTAAGTGAAGACAGTTTTTTCTCCATACTGCAAGCACTGCATCATAAGGCTTAACAGAGGACCAGCTTATAATAGATACAGAAGGGAGAAAGGAAGGAAATATTAAGTTAATGGGCTTTGAAACATGGGAAATGAATGATTTCCTTTTCTATCCTGACACAAAGACCCCACATAACGAACTTTTGTTCAGTGTTCTTTCTCCATCCAAATTGGCAGTTTTGCTTATGCATGACCATATGCCTGTTGAGGTAAAAGTTGATCCCTTATAAGAATAGAGGCCAGCTAAGGGAAGAACTACTTCTGACTCCTAAATGGCTACCCTTCTGCTAGAGGCTGAATGAAACAGGAATACCACTCATAGGACAATATTTATACTATCTCTACCAAACAGACATTTAGCACCCCCAATTTTTCCAATATAAATCTTTTTCACAAAGTTCTTAAAGGAAAAAAAATGACATTTAGGACTTTGAAGACTTGGCTTGGGTGTTCTCTTCAAAGTTAAACTAATAGCAGTTCAGGAAAATAAGTATATCAAGAGGCATAAGGTGTATGCAATTATTTTCACAACCTGAGCTAAGCAAATGCCTTTGTGGGCAAAGAAAATATCAAACATTTAAAAAAATATAATATTTAGACATTTGACATGAAAACTTGGGATGAAATTCAAAAATGTTGAAAGGTATTCAGAATAATTAGTTGCCCATGCAGTGGTTCCTGCTAGATGTATTTTACTCATGAATGACAAGACACTTTCGGTTCAAACAGGTTGTTCTTAGAATTTAAACTCTTGTTTATTGAATGTTGAATTAGCATCTCATCCCACAAACAACATAATGAATTGTAAATAATTTCCCATGCCTCTTTTCCTATTTGTACAAATCTAAATTCTAAGATTTCATTCCCAAATAATTTTGCAGTACAACCCTTTGCTAATCAGTTTTCAAACCTTTATATTTTTGTTTCATTAAATAAAAATATACCAGTGATTATTTCATTACAAACTTCAAGTGATTGTTTAATTTAATTATGTTCAATTTAATTTGATGTTAATATTTATAAAGTTGCCATTCTTGGAGTACAAGTAATTCAATGATAATAAAAATCAGGAAAACTCATCTCCTTGGAAACTATGTATATCATTATTCATTTTGTTCACTCATTAGATTTTATTGGGTGACTTGTGTGCAAGGCATTCTGCTATGTGTTAGAGACAATAAACTGTAGAGTTTGGATTAAGTGGGTCAAAATATTTGAAGATATTTTTCTGCAGGTTCCAAGGACAGCCTCCAACTATAAACTGTCTATATTTTGCTTGTTTCATTTTTCAACCTTTGTAAAATAATACATATTTTTTTTCTTCTTAAAAAGTCTATTTTGCCCCTTGGATACCTAATCTACACTGGTGGTCCTGAAGCACTTGAAATTTGAGACAGGAGTGCAAGATCCAACATTCCTAAGAGCCTACCCATTCCCCCTCCCTATGAGTCTCATTCCTAAATCCACCAGGAAGCCTGGCTCTGCCCAGAGCTGGCTTGCTTTGTCGGCTGTGAAAACCCCAGCATGGGATGCCAGATCCATTGGCACAAAGACCTGATGCCACCCAACTTCCTGGGAAACAGAAAGACTTGCTTGTCCAATGTATAATGAAACCCAAAAAGTGAATAGCTGGGAGAGACCTTGTAAATGATGTAGCTCTGGATCCCTTTTACAGATGATGAAAATGACAGCCAGGGAAGTGTAAGATTTGCACACAGAAATCCATTGTAACCAGGAGCTAAAATTCCAACGTATCTTATCAAAGACTGGAACAGACCCAGTGTCCCACCCTATGCCTAAATAACTCTTATAAAGCATTAGGTCCAAACAAGGCTGGGAGAGGGAGGGAGTACGGTGCTAATTATTGGTACCACACCAGCTGTCCTGGCCAAGAGGCATAACAATTACCATGATATGTCTGGGAATTAGAGCCCATTAAATACTAGGCTGGGTAATAATTCGGATGATAGGAATTACTGAAATAAGAAACCATTAGAATTGAATCCATCAACACCTCCTCTACAGTATCGAGTCTGTTTGTGCGCAACCCCCAGAACAAAACACAAGACAGAGCAAGGTCTGGGTTCTGCTGCCCTTGGCGGAGCTCAGAGGAAGAGCCTGACTCTCCAGGGAGAAATTTAATCTGCCCTTTTCACTGCAGCAGTCGGAACATCTGGCACCGACCCTGGGAGGCGCTCCGGTGAGACTTCTCCCTAGCTAGCCTTTGTGCGGGGCTGCCTCTGGCGACCCTGTGTGTCTGGCCCCCTCTCCTGCTCCCTAGGCCCCCTTTTCTCTCCCTGGCTCCAAAAGCTCAAGTCCAGGGTTGTGGGAAGCCCACAGAAGCACCTCCAGCAGGCCACTCCCAGGAACGCGGCTCCGCCTCGGCCTCCCCTGCAGACAGCCAAGGCTGCAAGCTGGCGCTTGTGCGCTCCCTCCTCGCGAGTTTCGCTCAGGGTTTGGCTCGGTCCCCAGCAGCCCAGCAACCCATCCACAGGGGCCGTTCGCCCTGCTGGCCAAGTAGCTTCAGCTCTACCAGAGAAGCACCGCACCCCCTTTTCAAACAGCTCTCTCTAGCCTCTGGGCAACGCTGGCCAGGGCGGATGCTCGGGTCCTAGCCCGATTCCAGGTGGTGCCCCGACCCCACCGCCCTTGACCTGGCCCAAACACCTAATTCAGCCTGGGGTTAGAAGCCTTCCATCGCGGGTATTTGATCTACCCTACAATCTCACGCCAGGTAGGTGGGTGGGCGCATGGGAAGGCAATAACCCGGCCTTGAACCCCAGACCTTTGAAAATGACCGATCAGGGCGCCAATCCTTCAGGTCGAGGGGAAGGTCAAAGGCGAACAGCGCTGCCCGCAGCCCTGCAGGGGGCGGAGGGTGATGCAGTAGGGGTCGGGAGAGACTGGCGAGGTCCGAAGGCCACGGCGTGATCCACGGCGGGGCGAAGGGGAAGCTAGGTGCGGCTGGGCACCAAGGCAGTTGGGGCTGAGCGAGGAGCCAGGCCGGCTGCCTGGCGCATTCCCGGCCGTAGGCGTCACGGGCGCCTCGGCGGCCTGGGTTTACGGTCCCTCTGTCCAAGCGCAGCACCTGCGCGTAACCGCGACGCTGCAGGGATTTTCTCCCGCCGCCGCCCGCGCTCCCCGCCGCCAGACAGGAGCTTCCGCGAGGACGCGCGCAGCCCCAACCCCGTGGCGCGGAGGCCGGCTCGGAGCCGCTCGCCGCGGTCTAGGGCAGACTGCGCGGTGCTGCCCGGCCGCAGGCGGCTCCGACCTCGGGGTCACCCGGCGGGCACGCGGCGCCCCCTCTCCCCTCTGCCACCAAACCTCCCGCTGCAGCCCCCCGCCCCCACCCAGAAAGCATACAATTTTCCTCCAGCAGGGACCGTGGGAACCCGTCGGAGGGGCAAAATTAAAGGAGGGGCGCGGGAGCTGTGCGGCGCCGGGTCCGAGACGCGCCGCGCACCCACCCTCCCGGACCGCGGAGCCCCCCCCCCCCGAGAGCCACGCGGTCGGGTGACTTACCCGAAGTGTCCCACAGGCTCAACTCTATTCTTTGTGTGTCGATTTCAAAGCTGGCCGTGTAATTCTCAAACACAGTAGGGACGTAATTCTAGGCAAAGAGAATGGGCGGAAGAAAGAAAGGGGGCGAAGAGGTTATTTTAAAACACACGTCACTCATCCAGCACTCGGAAAATCGCCCCCCTGAATTCCCAATTTAAAATGGACCCTGCAGCCTTCCGAAACCCCCACCCCCGCCCGGCTCTCGGAGACAGGCGGACCCCAGGCTCCCCACCCCGGCTCCGCACGAGCTGTCGAGCAAGTTTCAGGAGCTATCAGTGCCCAGGGCGGGCGTCCCGACCCCAAACGCTTCCAGCGCACTTTCCCTTTCCGAGCAGAGCAGTCGGACCTGGGGGAAAGTAGACAGGGGTAAGAAAGAGGATTCTAAACCAAAAAGAGGGCGGAGGGAGCGAAAAGGGAGAAGCAAGGGAAGCTTGTCTGGAGAGCGGGGACCCCCACGGGCCGCCTCCCAGAGCCCGGCCGAGCGCACCTACCTCGGGGAAGCAGTCCTTGGCGAAGACGTGCAGCAGCGCGGTTTTCCCACACTGACTGTCTCCCACCACTACTATCTTGCATTTCACGTTCTGATTAGGATCCATGATAGATTTACTGGATAATTTTTGGCTGGCTCTTCTCTCCTTCATTGATGTTGCCTTATAGTCTCTTGGAACAGGAATGTTCTCTTAAGAAGAAATATATATATATATGTTTTTTTCTCTATAAAATGCAAATATAAAAATAAATCTCAAGGCTGGTGGGGACCCCTGAAGCGCAACGCAGACCAGGAGGGGGACGAGAGGAGCCAGCTCGTTATTCCTCTCCAACAAGTTTTATGCTTGACTCCGCACCGCGCCTCCCAAGTCCAATTCCGATCCAACTGCTTTGTTTCACACTCTCTGCGCGGCTTTATAAGCCAGGCCTTCCAATCCTCTCCTTTCTCAACGAGAGAAGGAAACTGATCCGCCTCCTCCCCTTTTATGGAGCCTGGGAGCGAGCGCTGTCTCGTTGCTTGCAGAAAATGAAAGCAGCGCGCCCTCTAGGGTGACGGTTCAGGACGCATATCAGAAGAAGGCTCTAGGACAATGTGAAGACCCTAAACGCGATTTGATGCTGGATGGGACTGTGCAACTCCAGGAGGAGGCGAAAAACCTGCTGTGTGTGCATAGCAATTCTTTTAGAAATGTTTTCATGTGGATTCTTCTCCAGAAGCCTCAGAAACATTTGTGAAAACAAGATGACTTCCTACCCCAGTCAAAGCATATTTATAAAATGTAAGAAGCAAATCTTGGGTGCAGAAGGGTAAAGTGGTTGTATTAGAAAGAAAAAATAAAGGTCTGCCTCAGGCATACATGTTACGGAACATTAGAGGAACACCTGAGGTGGTTTCAGATGAAGGAACTGGCTTGCCTGGGTCACAGTAACACACTACACTCGGGGGCCTCTCGGTTTTAGTCTTTCAGGAAGAGGAAGAAACGTTTTGAGGAGTGCAGTGGGTCAAGGGAATGGGAGGGTAGAAGAAAGAGAAGGGGAAGATGCCTATAACTGAGTGACAAAGACCACTGGAAACTCACTGCTACTGCACTAGGGACCCAAACACCATAGCATCAGAAAGTTGTCCCTACTGCCCCTGCTTCAGCAGGCAGGTGGCTGTGAGGAAGGGATTCTGGTTTTGCCCTTTGAGTCCTGTGTAATCAGCCTCCATCCTCCTGGAATTAAAGCACTCGTTTGCAGTGAGAAGGTTGGAAAGCTCAAGTACTGCCCTCCCCTTGTCCACCATGTGCACATCCATTTCCCTGGTCTTCCAATTCTTCCCCCCAGGAAGTCTTAGGACCAAAATGGCCTACACATTTGTTTCCTTTATTTATTTTTTTTTTTGTCGGTGAGAGCATCATCTTCATCTCTAGTATCCGAAATAGTAGGAGTTTTCAGTTGAAGTAAGGACATTAGCCCAAATCAACTTACAGATCCCCCATAGCAATTTCTTGACTTGTATATAAGAAGTTGAAGTGAAAATTTCAGTATGGTGCGTGAAAAGGCATAAGGAAGGGTAGGTAGTTAAAAGCCCTGAAGTAAATATCAGATGGGCTTCCATGAAGTTCAGGGGATTCAGGAATGATTTTCTCTTCCTTTTTGAGCTGAGAACACTGGGCCCTCCTTCCAAAGGAAAGACCTGGCTTGATTGGATGTATTGGTCTGTTGTACACAACAGAAAGGCTGATGGTAGAGAAGGTGTAGCTAACCCTGCTGGTGTTCCCAGAGGACCATTTGCAGTTTGCCCTAAAGAGCTTTGGTCTCCTCCTTACACACATGGTGCCTTGGCTGCTTGGTGAGGGAGACACTGTACAGGGAGCTCTCCTTGAATACCTATCAAGCACTTTGTTGTGTTACAGACACCAAAAGGTCCTGTAGACAAGCAACCTACATATGATCTCCAAAACCTACTTAAGCACAGGAAACTTTTATCAAATTATTTACTTGTCTGCTTGGGAAGCAATGGACATGATGGTTAGGGCAGGAGATGACAAAGAGATGTATTTGGCCCTTGAATGTCTCATATTCTGGTCATTGGATGAATTACTGAACCTCTGAAAGCCTCAATTTAATCATTCATAGAACAGAAGTCATAATAGTATTTATGAGAAAATGCAAATGAAGTTTGCAGAACAATTTCTGCCATGAGAAAGAGCCTCCAGCTGTGTTGTATTTCATTATAACACTTTTTTGCTCTTCCTGGGACCCTTCAATATATCTTCAGGAATCTTGGCTTTACTTTTGGCTTACTAATTGGAACTGAGTCCATCTTTTCTCATATTTTTAACTTAGGAAGTTTTTGATTTCCAAAGATATCACTTGATTTTCTGTATTCTTAAGTTGGTGTAGCTTATGTGGTTAAACCAGCCTAACTACCATTAATTAGTAGTTATTTTGAATTGACTGATCAATGAAGAAAAGAACTATATAATCACCTACATGTAGATACTTTTGATAGCAAAAGAGGGCACTAACAATGATTATGGCAGGATCGCAGACATAAAAATGCAAAATAAGCATAATCACTTCATCAGTGAATAATCTGGAATTGGAATGGATGGCTATTTTTGGAAATCAGTTGACCTAAATCTCCCAGGAGTCTACTAGTTTCTGGGTGAAATTCAATAGATATGTAATAGAGTAGAAAAATCACTTGCCTGAAGATAGCAGGTTTGGCTCTAAGGTAAGAATTATTTTTTGTTTTTGAGTCTCTATTGCTCATGTGTGATATATCTTGAATATGTTTTGAGATTCATCTAAGATGTAGTTTAACAATTATTTATCAGGTACCTGCTGTGTGCTAGAGTCTGTTCTAGGTGCTGTGGGTATAGCAGTAAACATGCCAGATCTGTTTTTTCTTTTCTTTTTCCTTTTTTTCTTTTTTTTCCTGTGACAGAACAGACATTCCAGACAGGAGGCAAACAAAATATAAGGAATCAAGTACATAACTAAGAATGAATGTGTAAGCTCTATGACAAAAAAACAGAATGTCATGATAAAGCACAATAGAGTGAGGCATGAAGCTCATGTCCTGACAATACCTTTGTACATAGATGGTTTTTAATGATGAGAACACACCACCCATGAGAATGTCCAGCAGAAGGGTGCCCCAGGCAAGGAATAGAGAGTGAAAAGGTTACTTGGAGGGAAGGAAATGGCAAGTTTGTGGAACAGGAGGAAGGCCAGATGCCTGAATGCTACGAAATCGGAGCTGAAATGGGAGACAGAAGGAAGAGCTGGGCTCCATAACTGGTTGTGGAGTCTGGATTTTATCCTAAGGACAGTGTGAAGTCAGTAAAAAGAGGGCTTGGAGAAGGAGAACAGCGTGATTCCATTAATTAATGAATGAATGAATGAACTGCTCCAGTTTTAGGTCTGCATCTGTCATTTACTAGCTGTACAACCTTGATGAAATTGTTCATTGCCAATGAGAACATAGGATCCAAATATAGATCACATTCTGGAAAGCACTAAAATTTTGTACTGTGATAAAAAGTTTTCCTTTAAGAAACACATTCACTCAGGAGATCTAGATCCCCATCCAGGCAATCATATATTGCCGAATATCTTTCCTTTTGTTATTCTTATTTGTCTGTCTTTATCTCTTATTACTCTCTTTCTCAAATTTGCCACTAAGATCAAGAGAAAAGAAAAAAATGCAAATAATTCTATATGGTTTTTATAATAGTGCAAATTCAGTTGCTCTAAGAGATTTGGGCTTAACAAGTCTTTCCTTTGTGGTTAACCTCTTAATTATTAGGGAGAATCCTCCTCCCAGAGAAACTGCATTATCTCTGTCACCAAAAGAGCTGACTTCAGGCCTGGAGAGAGGAATAACTGAGAGTCTACACCTAGGGATAGGAGAGGACTGATAAACTACCGTAGTTCTTTCTTTCTTTGAGCACTAGACAAGTCAGGGACTTGGGTTTTAGACCAGGCTGAACCAATGCACTGCCTGACCTTGGGCAAACACTGACTGAATTCTTTTCTTTAGTTTCATCCTTATGTGACAATAATATCTGCACAATAAGGCTGCTTAGAAAATTATGTGCCCGGTGTACTTTCCAACATTCTTCTTTAGAAATGCAGTACAGCCACCTCCCTTTTTAAGTGTGGTGTATTCATGGAGACTTTGGCTCACAGTAGAATATTGTGAGGCACAATCCTAATTGTTTATTCATGGTTTCCTGCCTCTCTTCAGATGTCAGCAGAAGCCTTTGAAAAAGCAAATACACAGTGAGGAGAAAGCACGGGTCACTTCTAAGTATTATCAGTAGAGTAAAGGGAAAACTGGCATTAAAAACAAGAAAATGTGCATGATGCCTTCATAGACATAATGTCAAAATAGGAATGTGAGCCATAGGCAATTCTCTTTGAGGATTTAATAAGATGATGGATATTAAGTAGTTTTAAAAGCATGAAGAGTAAAGGCAAGAGTACAAACTTATCAACTTTTCTATACTGACACATTATAATTTTATATTTGTCTCTTTTGCAGGTGGCCAGAAAGAGGTGATCCATCACTGGTCTTATGTGATATCAACATGTTTTTCATATTTTTATTTTTTAAGAAAGAAAAATTGAGAAAATAAGGTTCACAAAATGCAATAGTAAAATGCAATTGTCACTTGGGAAGAATTTTTTTTCTTGGAAGGGAAACTTTTCCTTTATTTTCTCTTGATTTTTCCTGTTTGTCCTGTCAAGGGCATGATAAGTTATGTAGGCTGTTTGGTAAGAATGCTGTGGTCTGGGATGAAGTATTCGGTCTTGTTTTCCTCTTAATGCTGACGGCTAATATGATTTACTGCTGCTGTGTGGATATAGCCTCGTTCTTCAGCCAACAGGAAATGACACAGCTGGATGAATGCTGAATAATAAGTCATTGCCCAGTTGACCATCCCTTTCTCAATTTATAACAAATTTGAGGAAGAATTTGTTACATTGTTTAGAGACCCAAACCACACAATTTTGGATCTGTATATCATAGGGCACACACAATCCTTTCCAAGTGCCTCTCCTAAATTCCAGTGTCTTCAATTCTTGATGTATTTCTTTAAAACAATTGTTTTGTATTAGTACATGTTTGCAATTCATGCAGTTTACAGTCATCCTGGGAGTGGGTATATGCACCTATTACAGCTTGTTCCATTTTTTATTTTTAATCCCCTTCCCCTTTGTTTCCCCTCCCCATTTCTTCTCCAGTTCCCATCCCCTTTTTCATACTCCTTGATATTATTTGTCTTAGCTCATGGTATGACACATAATGTTTGCATTAGTTGATTGAGGTTATTCGTTCCTGTACATGGCCGGTCTTTATTCCTCTCATTTCCCTTTCCCCTCTCCCTTACCCCTTTCCTTCTTCTCTTAGAACACTGTCCTATTGTAA